GTGTGTGTGTGTGTGTGTTCCTGTACCCTCTGCTGCTCCCCGTGTGGGGAAGCCATCTTCCTGGAAGTCCCTCTCTGGGTCGGCTTCTCTGGCTGGAAAGCTCATACCTCCCTGCCGAGCCGCTTGCTGTGAGGGACTGAGGCCCGGGCCAGCAGGCAGGTGCTCCAGTTCCATGTTAGAGTTTTTTTAGATACAGCCTGCTTTGTCATGCCATCTGCAAGCCATTCCTGTCCCTGAAACAAGCGCCTCCCTGCTTGGACTTCTGTCTCCCCTGGAGACCGGGAGGGAGGCCCCTGGCGCTCCGCCCCGCTGGCTGCTGGGGCCATGCTGACTGCAACAGGCTCACCTGGTACTTCCGTCATCGTGGGTCACCATGAACAGCAGGGATCTCGAAGGAGCGCTCTGAATGAACTTCATCATTGGTCCAGAGTTATCTGTGGGGTCAATGCAGGGGAGTTTGAGGGTCTTCTCTGCCAATGGAGGCTCTTGCCCTGGCCAGGGCCTCCCTCTGCCCTCGGTCTCTATGTCCACTCTGATCCCTGCTTCCTAGTGCTGGCCTCAACCATGGGATCAGTGCCATCGGGGCTCACTGGGGGACCATCTGAGGTGAGTGACAGGACAGACACTGGGTGGCGTTCTGGGTACAGAGTGGGAAAGGAGCTCTCCCAGACCAAGAGCCGAGGCAGGCAGCCCCGAGAGGTCCAGCAGCCAACCTCCAACAGCACAGCTCCTGCAGCACCGGCCAGGGGCCTCCGCACTCACTAGCCTCGAGCCGGACTCAGGTGCCATCCCAGAGCAGGGCAGCCACGCCTGCCCGAGGGGTCCGCAGAGAGAGATGCAGACCAGAGCGGCCCTCCTCCTTTCTGAATAGATGCCCAGTCTCTTTAGGGTCTAGTCCATGTTTAAACTTCGTCTTAACAGGAAATGTTTTCTTACCACCTTCATACATATCAAAATACTGTGTGGCTATCGGCTTCCCAGTTATATCTGCAAATAAAAGAAATTGTGCTTAAAAAATAAATAATACAGGGTGTGTTGGTGGCCCTGGTCCCTCCTAACAGGCCGTTTCTTGTCTGTGTGTCTGCAGGAAACAGCTGATGGGATGGCCTAAAGGATGTCACCAAGCACAGGGACAGCAGGACAGACCCTGGCCACTGCTCTAGAGCCGCTTGCAGCCTGCACCCAGTTAGAGCTGACCTTACCGTTCTGCTCCCCACTGCATCTCCCCCAGGGACAACGAGACCCCTCAGCCCCTTCCGCCACGTGCGTCAGCCTTCCCTAGGGTCATTCAACAGGGAGAACTGTCTCTCCCTGCAGCTCTGCTGTCCCTGGCCCATGCTGTCTGCTGCCCCGGGGATTCTGCAGGGAACTCCTTCTGACCCTGCTGCAGTTCTTAGTGCCAGGGTTCCCAGTGGCAGCAGGACCTCCGAGCAAGGCCCGGATCTGCCTTCCATGGACTTCAGTGGCCGTTTATCATAAGGCAGTGGGAGCTGGCCAGCAGAGGGACTGAGATGCGACCCGGGGCCCCAGCTGGTGCTCCTCTGGGTTCCCACCATTCCCCTTTGTGCTTTGTAAACTCCTTTTGTGTTTGGTCTTCAGTGAGTTTTGTTGTTATTGAAACACAATCTGAAATGTGGGGCTCGTAAGAATAACTAAGTACATCATTTTAAAATGCATTAAGACAGACCTAAACTAGATCATGTGCAAAGCTCTCCAAAGCTCAAGGTCTGGGTGAAAAACCCAACCTCAGAGTTCTTAGAGACATTTTAAGGAAATCATTTAGAACTTACAGTCCACGATGGCAATGTTGATCCCTCTTGCCACACTCCCCGTCTTTTCTCCTATGAGCCTGAAACGTAACTGAGCGTCAGTCGAGATTCCTTTCCTGCCCAGAAAGGAGCACCCTGACCCTGCTCACAAGACCCTCTCTGGGCAGCACGGCCCACCCACCATGGCTTCCCACCATTTCCTTGAAGAGGTCACCACCCTGGAGAGCCGCTGGGGTGCAGCTCCCTGGAGAGTCACCCCACACTCGCTGCACCCACGTCTGCCCCGGGTTCTGTAGACTCAGCACTCTGCCCCCCCAGCAACTGGAAGCTGCATTCAGTCTTATAATTTAGGCAAAGGATAGGGAGGGAAAAACCCATATTTGTTTAGCTCAGGCTCTTCACAAATGCTTTTTTACCAAATCTTCAACCAGCTCAGGAACATCCATTTTTGCATTTTATAGATGTGAGGTAGTTAGAGCTCAGTCAACGGGAGATGGGTCCAAACCAGGTTTTCCCAACTCTTCCCCATCTCTACCCCGGAAAGCACTGACGGAGGCGTGGCTTGACTCCAGGCGACTGCTTCTCCCAACCACAAGGCTTAGCTAGTTCCTTGAATAAACACTTTGTCGTACCACTTAGAGTTTACTTCTAAACTGCAGAAGATGAGATGTCAGTTTCATGGTGACTGGATCCTGACGTCAGGAAGACCGAGTGACTTTCTGGAGATGGTAATCATTTCTGAGATCACAGGAATTTTTTTTTCTGTGTGTGTGTGTGTGTGTGTGTGTGTTTATCCTCTGCCAAGTTTTAGAATCGATGATATGGCAACATCACAAAGAGAACTTGGAGTTCTCCTTTTTTCCCAGGTGAACACACACTTCATCACTCTGCTCTGCAGCGCTGACCTGAGCTTCCCCCGGAGCCTCCTGGCCCTAGAGCTTTTGGACAGTTTTAGGGAACGTTTGGTAAGAACCTGAAGTTTCCAACAGTGGACACTTGGGTGAGGTGCACCTACCGTCCCTGGAGAAAAGCAGGAAGACAGGACAGGTTTTAAAGGAGTCAACAGAGCCTTAATAAGGGAGCAAACGACTTCCTAGGCAAGACCTCAGAGGAGACTGGATTTGTGGTGCTGAGCCCAGCACTTGAGGGCTCTTTAACCCCAGGAGCATTTTCCAGAAAAGGTGCTAAAGGGGGTGAACAGCACTCTGACAACCACAGGAGGCCGAAGAGAGGGCCAGGTTAGAGTCCCCACATCTTACATCAGTTTGCTCTTACAAAGGGCGGAGTCCCGAGCCAGAGGAGAAGCCAGGTATTAAGTCAGCATTTGCATGGACCTTAGCACAGTCACCCAGAAAGTCTCAGTTGTTGGAATTTATTCAGGCTGTCTCTTGTTCTGCTGTTGGTTCCAGGTCCCTCAGAGCAGCAAAGAAAAATCCTCAGAAGCAACAGAAAATTTTATCCTGCTTTAGTTTGGATGTAGTTTGAGTGTAGTCCCCCAAGAATTCATGTGTGGTCTCAGTGAGGTGATGTTGGGAGCTGGGACCTTTAAGTAGTGGGGCTCATGCAAGGTAACTGGTCACTGGGGACATGCCCTTAGAAGAAGAGGTCAATGCTATTCTCACAGAGTGAATTAGATCTCCAGAGAGTAGGTTGTTATGAAACAGCGGGTCTAACCCCTGAATCTCCCTGGCTTCCTGTCTCTTCATGAAATCTTTTCTGCATGAATTCCCACCATTGTGAAGCCACCTGCAATGAGGCTCACTACAGCTAAGCAGAAGAACCTGGTGCCATGCCCTTGAACCTAAGAACTGTGAGCCAAATAAGCTTCTTTTCTTTTTAAATTATCAAGCCTCAGATATTTTATTACAGGAATGGAAAACTGACTAATACATATCTCTTGCCTCTATTTAAAAAATAATCTCCAATGTACTGTCTGGCACACTGTCAAGCATAATCCGGCCCATGAGCAAAAAAATCCAATATAACAAGTACCAATGGAACCAGCAGGAAACAGTACATGATAGGGACAGATTTACAAGGGGTTAAAATAGTTGAGTTATCCAACATAGACTTCAAAATAACTAGACTTAATATATTCAAGAAAATGATCAACAAAACTGAAAAGTTCAGAACTGGAAATTTAAAAAATTGACATGCTGATTTGAAAACAATGAAGTTCTAAAACTAAATATGATAAGCTAATATCAATGGTCAATGAATGGGTTTAACAGCAGATTAGACACAGTAGAAGAGAATCCCACTGAAATGGAGAACAGTTCTGTCCACAATGGAAGGCAGAGATAAAAATACAGAATGAAAACCAGTGCGGTATAGAGAATACAGTATTAAGGTCTAAAATGTGCTTCGTTAAGAATATCAAAAGCAAAAGAGAAAGTGAAAGGGAAAGAAGATGTACTAGCAGAAAAGTTGTCAGATACAATGAAGAACTTCGATACATACATGTTTAAGGAGCTTAGGAAAGTCCAAATAAGATACGCTACAGCACACACATCAGGGTACAAATGCTGAAAACCAAAAACAAGTAAAAAAATCCTAAAGACAATCAGAATCAGAAAGGGGAAAGGAAATTGCTTTCACATTTGCAGCAATTAGATTGTTGGTTGATTTCTCCAAAGAAATAATGAAGCTGGAAGAAAATGGAATAACACCTCAAACGTTTCAAAAGAAAACAATGACCAACACATCTGGCCAAGATATCTTTCAGGAATAAAGATGAAAGACAGATATTTCAAAGAAAAATGAAATGCAAGAATTCACCATTAGCAACCCACAAGCAGAATTGGCTCTGTGTCTTTTGCTGTGACAAATCTTACCCATAAGTATAACCTTGTTTGGTTCCTAAGAGTCCTTCTAGAGAATAAGTGGTTGTGAGACCCTCCTTCACCCTGAACTCCAAAGTCAACAGAAATGTATACACATGGGCACCAAGAGACATAGACAGCACTAGTCAAAAATAATTGGGAATGACCCAAATGCCATTCAACCTTAGAATGGAAAATAGCAAGGCAATATTACACAGCAATTCAGATCCACAAAAATAGCTATGCCCAACATCAAAGACAAATCTCACAAATGTCATTTTGAGCTAAAAAGACCAGACACAAAAGAGCATATAATTTATGATTCCATTCATATAAAATTCAAATACACAAGATTAAACAACAGTGTTTTGCAATGTATGCTTAGGCAGGGAAACCATCAAGAAAGGCAAGGACGTGATCACCACAGAAGAGAATAGAGTGCCTTAACACAGGGGCTGCACTTGGCAAGGGTACACAGAGGGCCTGCGGAGTGCTAGCGATAGTCTACTGCTTGACCTGGATGGCGGTTACACAAGTGTCCACTTTATAAGGATCAGTTACAAAATCACATACCACAGGTTATTCATGGTAGCATTATTAGTAATACCCAAAGATCTGACACATTAGAACTGCCTGTCAGTGCAAAACTAGTTGAATAAACTATGAACCATCCCTGTGGAATACTATGCACCAATAAAATAAATTAGGGAAATCTCTTTGTACCGACAGGGAGTGATCTCTATTATACTGTGAAGTAAGGAAAGCAAAGTGCAAAACTGTGCGTGGAGTTTACCCCATCTTTTATATAAGAAAGGACATGTCTGTGTATATGTGTGTGCATATATATATATGCACACACATATATCTGTATATATACACACATATATGAATGTGTAGCAAAAGAAAAAGAGAAAGTGAAGGGTCAGGAGATATACTATATATGCACATATACGCACCTATTCATACATGCATATACATGAACTCACATAGGCATGCTTATAAAACTCATATATTGGTACATCTACATATATAGAGAGAAAGCTTATTTTGCCAAAAAAAGCAAACATTAGAGGGATAAATCAGAATTTAATAAAAAAAAATTGAGATGAGAACAGGAGAAAAATTGGAAGGTATAGGGAAGATTTTTCTGAATGTATGTTTTTGGATACATAATGTTAATTTCTGAACCATGTAAATATATTACACAATCAAAAATTAAATCCAAAGAAAAAATAGAAAAAAAAATCTTAGAACTAAAAATGAATTGAAATGAACCTAATCATATCAAGTATATAACACAACTATGGGAAAAACAACTCTTTCACATGACTTCAATCATAATACTGCACACTGCAGTGTAGTATTTTTAAAGAAAAAAAGAACTGACAAAAAAGTCACACTTCACTCAATAGCTGCATTGAGTTCTCCTGACACACATTTTGAAAGCAGGTGTTAAACTGCACTAGGAATGAGGTTCTCAGTGAAAGGAAAGAGTTAAAATGTGAAATCAAAGCTCCTAATGGAGGAAAAATCCTGCAATGTTAAATGTTAGCTGGAAATACCAGTGCAAATTCTCCTTTCCCGGGAAATGCATTTCTCGCCTCTGTCCACTAACCATGCTCAGAAGTGGTTCCATCTCAGCGGCTCCCGGAAAGCTCCGACAGAGGAGCTGCTCACTGGAGAGCTGCTGGGGCACAGCTCCCCACAGCGAGCCTCCTGGCTTCCAAATCCCACACCCATTAAGGGAAAGTCTCTTTTGAGAAATGGCTGGTTTCAGGTCTGAACCGAGAAAGACTTCAGAAGAGCACGCTGTGCTCCAGGGCAAAGAAGTGCTCAAAAATAAAGAGCAGGTAACTGAGCAGCCCTGATGACCAGACAAAGGGAATTTGGAGTTAAAAATCCCACCAGGCCCGATGGCTTCCCTGGGGCAGTGCGCCAAGCCCTGGAGAAGCGCCAACTGCACAGATTCTCCCACCTGGAGAGGAGGGGTATTCAACGGCCTGTCCCCTGGGAGGTGCACAGAGGGTGGGGACCATAAAGAACAACCCACAAGCTCTGGCTTTGGACTTGGCCACGTGCTCAAAGTAAAGGATGGATTACAAACTACAAAACCGAAGCAGCTCAGCACAGGACGCACGCCCACCACTAGCGATGATCAGCGTCCCTCCCTAGCAAACGCAGCCAGCAAGGCGTGATCCTTCCCTCCCAGGTGCACGGGGGCCTTAGGCGGGGGCCAGGGGCATGAGAGTCTCCTCTCGCCAGCCCTGCCACTTGGGCAGCCTCAGAAGGGACTGGTGGGCAGACGCTGTGCTTTCTTCCTGAACACCGCTACTTACAGCTCATCCTCAAAGCAGATCTTGGCGTACTTGTCGCGACCCCCGCCGCTGAGCAACCGGTAGGCATAGCTGTTGGTGGGGCACGCGGTCCAGTGGTCACATTTCTGCCTTCTGGGGGCAGGGGCTGTAATACAAAGACCATCATGGCATCACTGTTAGCTAACAGATGCACCTGCTACCTGTCCAAAGGGCAGCAGCTCCGCTCCAGCACTCCACCCACAATCCCAGGGAGGGGAGGACCCGAGGTGGGGGGGCTTCCCGCCTCATTGGGATCACTGCAGTCCCCCTGAAGGTGCACGGTTGACATGACCTGCTTCTTGTCTTGAGTGACACTTCACATGGAGAGGTTTTGAGCAGGTGCAATTTCAGAAGTGTCAGAACCACTGTCCACGGCTGCTCACCACAGCTAGCCTGCTGTGCCCCGCACGCTTGCCTCACAGTAAGAAAAAGACCTCAGATGCTGTGGCTTGGAGATGAGGCGCCCCCTAGAAGCTCCTGTTAGTGCAGGGACGTTCAGACCTAGGTGAACCAGGTGACCTAGGTGACCCAGGCAGGGCAGCGTGGTTGGAGGTGGCCCCTGGGGCTGCCCGGGAAGGGTGGCTCTTTCTGCAGCCCTTGCTCTCTCTCTGCGTCCTGGCTGCTGGGAAGGGCAGCTCTCCTCCGCTGGGCTCTTCCCCCAGGACTTACTGCTTTACCTTTGGCCCAGAGCAATGAATTCAGCCATTTATGAACTGAAACCTCTGAAACTGGGAGCCAAAATGACCTTTTTCTCCTCTAAGTGGTTCTTGACAGGTATTTTGGTTGCAAAGCTAATACACAGGAGTCTAAGAGTGCTGGTGAACAAAGACAGACACGCACGGGGATCCGCACACGCCCATCACACAAACGCCACACGGCATGCCACATCCAACACTGTGCACACCACATACAGCACACTCTGTGCACACACACACCACGTACTACCAAACGTCATACCACACAACCACACAACATGCCAAGCAGAACCAGCACACAAACACCACACAATATACCACACACACACATACGACACACACACGCACTGTACATATGCAAACATACATGCTCACACATACCACACAGCCACCACAATGTGCACACACACACACACACACACACACACCCTGAACACAAATGGCCCACCTCCTCTCCCTGGAGTGTGAGGGACTGAGCTTTTCTGCCGGGGTGCTATGACAGCAGAGTGGCCAGGCCCTGGAGATGTCCACTCCAACTCCCTCATTTCACAGGGGCCAGCCATTAGGGAGGGCTCAGAGGCCAGCCTGAGGCTGGGATGGGAGGAGGCGAAGGCCCTGGCTCACTGAGCAGCTGCTGCACCCGCCCTGCTCACTCAGTGGAACACACGGGCTGTGGAGCTCTCGTGCAACCAAGGTGCCCAGAGAGAGTCCAGGAAGCGCCTGTCACCCCCAGGTCGGCCTCTCACTGGACCTGGCCTTCCCCTGCGAGCCTGTGCTTTCCTGACTCATTGCACAGGAATGTCCAGTCACCAGGTGGTGAGGTACAACAGATGGCATGAGTGGGACTCCAGGGTGCCACACAGACGACAGAACACGGAGCCGGGAGGCCAGGACCGAGGAGATGACCAACAGCAGGCAACAGGACAGCGGTTCCTCACCGCCCCGGTCGTCTCAGACGAAAATGGGTTGGTTTTTCCAATTAAAAGACATAGAATGACCGAATGTATCTTTTAAGAAGACCCAGCTGCTGACGAGGCCACTTCACCCTGGGCACACCCTGACGGGAAGTGAGCAGGTGGAGAAAGTGCTCCATGCGATGAAGCCAGGAGGGCGGGTGGCCGCCCTGGGTGAAGTGGGTGAGTCCAGTGCAAAAGGGGTGGGCTCAGGGCCGGGGCTCAGGGCCGGAGCACTTGACCACTGTGGCCAAGGCCCTGGGTCCTATTCCCAGAAAAACAAAAGGGCAGAGAGGTCACCAGATAATGATAAAAAAGCCAATTCACTGAGAAGCTGCCATGATTGTAAGTACATCCTCCTCCCACCCTGGACACCTAAAGAGGAAGCAAGGGACCGGAGGGAGAGAGGACTGAGAATAAACAGTAACAGGGACTTCCAGACGCCGCTTTCAACAGTGGACAGGTCATCCAGACAGGAAGTTAACAAGGAAACACTGGACATTATCCTAGTCCTTAAGGCTGCCATGAAAATCACTTTAAACTGAATATTGATAAACCACACACGTTCACTTCTCAGCTCTGAACTCTGGGCAGCCTGAGGCCAAGGCACCTGCACATTAGGGATCTGGTGGGCTCAGCTGGTGAAGAGGGCCAACACCCTCCCCTTCCCCTCAGGTTCCAAGAGCACTGCTCCATTACGAGGAGCGGCTCCCAGCGGGTCACTCACCTCTTAACACACCACACCAGCGATGCGGCTTCAGCACACGGATCCTGTGGACACAAACCCACAGACCATCGCAGACTCAAGCTACACCGTAGGCCAAGTGGACCTGAGAGACAGACGGAGCGCTCCACCCAACACCAGCAGAGCACGCACGGAACATTGTCCAACCAGAACATAGCGAAGCAGAGACAAGACTGAGCAAGTCCAAGGAGACCAAATCCACATGGAGCGTGCTTCCTGACCACGGTGGTAAGAAATGAGAAATGACCACAAATGCAGTACAGAGACTCCACAGGCACGTCCAACATGCTCCTGAACAACCACGGGTCAAAGGGAAACTCACACACATCTGTGACCACAGGAAGGGGAAGACAACATGCATGTAGCAAAAGTCGGTCCAAGAGAGAAGTTTCTAGAAATAGATGCCTACACCAAAAAAAGCAGGAAGATCTCAGTACACAAGCTAATCTTATGCCATCAAGAACAAGAAGAGCAAACTAACCCCGGAGTTAAGGGCAGGAAGGAAATGACAAAGAGGAGAGGAGAAATAATGAAATAGAGACTAAGACAACAATAGAAAGGTCAATGAAACAAAGAGCTGTCTGTCTGGTTCTTTTAAAGGAAGACCAACTTGACAAACCCTTAGATTAAGAACAGAAGAGAGAAGACCAACTAAAACTGGAAATGAAAGAGGAGACGTTCCAACGGACACGAGGTCACAGCGGGTATTAGGAGCAGTTCCACCTACAGACTGCAACCCAGAACCTGTGAATTCCTACCTACAACCCGCCAAGCCTGAACCACCAGAAACAGGCCATCCAAACAGGCCAATGACAATGAGAACGTCAATCAAAGTCAGACCCCGTCCAACAGAAGCCCAGTGAGACGGCTTCGCTGCCGAATCCTACCAAACAGCTGAGGAAGAACACACACCAATCCTTCTGAGCCCACAGACACTGCAAAGGAAGAGACACTTCTGAACTCACTTAACAGGGCCAGAGTCCCCTGATCCCAGCCAGGCCAGGGACCAGGAGGAGGCAGAACGACAGACCAACACCTCCAACAGGCATAGGTGCCAAGTCCTTAAGAAAACAGGTTGGATATGACCAAACCACAGACAGACGGGAGTGACAAACTAAAAAGCTTCTGCACAGTCACAGCGATCATCAACAGAGGGAAGGGCGAGCTACAGAATGGAAGAGAGATTTCCAAACCGTGCATGTGATAAGGGCTAACATCCAGACATATAAGGAACTCAAGCAATTCAATAGAAAGTATGGTTTCCAGCCTGACTTCAACTGGGCAAACGACTGAATGGACATTAGTCCAAAGAAGATAAACAAATGGCCAAGAGGCCTATAAAAAAGATGCTTGCTACCACAAATAATCAGGGAAATGCCATCTAAAACCACTATTACATGAGCTGTTACAAAAGAGCCTAATGATAACATGTGGTGGCAGGGTGTGGAGACCAGGGAGCCCAGCACACTGTTGGTGGAGATATAAAGTAGAATAGCCATTATGGAAAACAATATGGAAGACCCTCAAAAAAATTAAAATAACTTCCATATGATCCAAAATCCCCCCTCTGGGTATTTCCAAAGGAAATAAAATCAGTTATGTGGGAGAGCCATCTGCACTCCTGTGTTCATTTCAGCATGATTCAAGATGCAAAATCAACCTACATGCCCAGCAGTGGATGAATGGATGAGGTATTTGTGCACAGTGAAATACTATTCGGCCTTCAAAAAGAAGAGGATTCTGTAATTTTTGGTGACATGGATGAACATGGGGACATTATGCTAAGTGAAACAAGCCAGGCACAGAAAGGCAAATACCACACAATGTCACTCATATGCTGTTATGGTTTGGATGTCGAATGTCCCTGGAAACATCATGTGGCAATGCAGGGAATGTTCTGAGGTGAAAGGATTAGATCATGAAGGCCATCTCCTTGCCAGTGTGTTAACAGCGGATCCCTGGGCTCCCACTGTAAACTGGCTGGGTGTGGCTGAGGATGACGGTCCCTGGAAGCATGCCCCTGGGGTTCTATCTTGTCCTGGCTCCCGACTCTCTCGCTCCCTCCCTCTGCTTCCCAGGAGCGAGCAGCTTTCCTGTGCCGTGTCTGCCTCACCTGGGGCCAGAGCAAGGGAGTTGACCAGCCACGGACTGAGCCTCCGGAACCCTAAGTCCCTAATAAACTTCTCCTCCTCCGAGTTGTTCTCATGGGGCCTCTGGTCTCAGTGACTAAAAGCTGAGTAACTCATGTGTGGAATCCAAGAGGCCAAACCCAAGCAAGAACTAGAAGGGAGGTTACCAGAGGCTGGACAGGACATGGAGAGGGGAGGGGGCTGGGGAGACGTTGGCCAGAGGACACAAGTTCTCATTCGGCAGGACATCTGTTCCCATTAATTCAAGAGATCCACTGTGCGTCGATCGTCTACTTGGAAATTGCTGAAGGAGCAGGTTCTAACAGTCACACTGAAACCAGGATGTGAATGGAAACACGTGTTAATGGCCTGATTCACCACCCCACGGTGTCGACAGGGAGGAGAGCACCACACTGCGCACCGTGAATGCGCCCTTCAGAGCTTTGTATCTAAAAACACGTCGATAGATCAGAGTTGACTGAAGAGGTACCGTGACCCGCTGGAGTGGGACTGCAGAGGATCACGGTGATGTCCCTGTGCCAGCGCAAGACATTGCACGTGGCCTGAGCTTCTTGGTGACCACG